TCATTCTATATTTTCTAAGGCCCTTAGAATGGTCATTGCATGTTTATAACTAGAACTAGCCTTCCATGTGATACACCGGATGTCGATTAATAGAAGAAAAGAAATAATTAAATACGCTTCCGTATTTCTTTGCCAAAAAACAATTTTTCAATTTGTTAAACGGAAAGAATAGGTAATCTGCCATGAAAAACCCCCGTTTTTCTTTTCTTTTTTTAAGTGGCAAGTACGTGAAAGGGGAACTTAAGACAAAGCCTAGGCATGGAGGCCAATTCCTCTATTGCCTTTGCACTATGGTTGAGAGTCTATTTTAGGGAGATGAAATGGAGTGGGATGGCTAAAAGATATAAACTATTGTTTGTAAGTTTTTTTTTTTAAAAAAATGATGGAATAGCAAGGAAGAGCCTCTAAGGCCTTCCTTTGCCATCAATAGCTCAATATTTTTTGTCCCTCTAAATTGAGGGGTTAAGGATAGAGTGGCACTATAACATTCAAAAAATTTTAACCCTGATTTATTACTTAATTAGGGTAGCTAGTGAGTTAATGAAGTGTATAGCCAGATAGGTTTAATTTGGCATAATTGCTGTGATTTCAACCCTAGAAGTGGGTCCAGATCGATGGCGGGCCACCCGGTTAAGGAAAGAGGGCAAAAATGTACAGGGTTGTGTTCTGTGCCACACGTCATAGTGCGTAGTTGGTTTGCCGCAGTGCACGGACACAATTTGAACGTAACGGGCTCCTCTGTGCCGTGCGCCACCAAAAATCTGATAAATCAACTCGAGCTGTGTGAAAATAAAAGAGAGAAAGAGGAGGAAAATGAAAAGCTTGGTTTTGGCTCTGCTAGGACACAATATTTGGCCCCATTGTTGATAGATTGGAGCTTCCAAATACCCAATATAAGATCATGGTGCTTTCTTCTTCCTTTCTCTCCTTCATTTATGATTATTTATGATAAGGTTTGAGTTGGGAGATGGATTTTCGGTTCATAGGAGTATGGGTCTTATTTCATTATTTAAAATAAGATTAACAGGGGTGATTTAATGTATTGAAACACCACATTGATGATTTTGGAAGTGGTTGGTCCGTGGGAGTATTTAACATCTGAAATTGATATTTATGAGGTAGTTGAGAGAGGTTAATGTGCATTAATGATGGTTTGAAGTGTTATTAATGATAATATGCATTAATAAAATTTAATAAACCCATTAGGTATAAATGGGTAGTGGTTATGAGTTGGTAAAATGGTGTATGAGGAGTTTTATATTGATAAAGCTTGAAGAGCTAGATGATAATGATATCCTTGTGATATGGTTGTAGAGAGATTCGTCTTGGTACTATTCAAGCTTATTGAAGCTTAGGGAAGTTGATATAATGAGGGGTAAACCTTTGACCTCTTAAAAGTTTGAGGTAACCGGAAAAAACTTAATTTTTATAGTTGAATGTTAATTGTTTGTGAAATGTGATTTATGAGTTAAATTAATTATGCATATTGGCAAATGCTTGATTGTGAAATGGTTTTGGAGAAGAGAAAACCTTGATTCTACCACCTTTGATGTTTTGTGAAATTACTTGTGATTTATTACTATGGGTGGAGAATTATGATGAATTAAGTGTTAAATTGTGAAGTATTCGTGTTATGTGAGTGTAAGTGTTGAGAAAAGATTGTTAAAAATGCATATTATGTATGAATTGTGCATAGTATGATCATTAGCGAGAGTTCACCTAAGTAGAGGAGTAGATTGGTTGAAATCCACATAGTATTGGCAATGACCATTGGAATCGGGAACTGGCCTTAGCACCGACCGTTAGAATCGGGAGGTAACCCTTGTCCCATGGTTGATTTAGGACTGTCCCACTTGTTCTATGAGGGACTTGAACCTAACTAGTCTCCACAAGTTCATAAGGAAGCTAGATTAGGGGTACGACACCCCATGGTTGTTAGTATTGGGGGAAACCGGATTACATAAGTGAGTGAATTAACCCTGACCTAGTAGTCCTCACAAGTAAAAGGTTGGATTAGTCCGTGAAAGATATAGCCTCGTGATAGCCACCAGTTTCGTGTCAGAGGTAATAGGAGGATATAAGGTTGGCATATGATCATGCATATAAGTCCAGCCACATGGTTGTTAGTTTTGTGATCTAATGCGTGTTAAAGGCGCATGATTGTTATTTTTTGCGACCCAAAGTTATGTTTTTGAAAATGACATGACATGGTGTTTTGTGACAAGCCCGATCACATGGTTATTAGTTTTGTGAACCGTGGCCCAATACTATGTGATATGTGTTATATACCTATTTACATCTATTTACAATTAATATATAACTGTAAAGGTTAAGTGAAACTTTGTTACTGAGTGATTGTACTCACCCCTCAATTCTCAATATTTTTAGGAACTAGCTCATTGGATCAAGTACGGAAAAACACACATAGACTTAGGATTTATGGAGTAAATCCTCTTTATGTCTCTTTTTAGTTGTTTACATGTATAATTGTTAATGTATTTGCCAACTAGGATTAATTGTCATGAATGGTGTACTACTTGTATAATTTTATGTTTAACTAGTGTATTTTGTACCCTGGGGTTAGTGAGTTTTTGTTGTAAACCTGAGGATAAGGCTAAAATACTTGTATAAGTAGAAACATATATATTTTTGAGAAATATGAATGAAATGGTTGATTTTGTGCAACTTTTCCTCCCCCTCTATGTTTTGTGAAAATTGGGGTTGAGTAGTAATTTTGTAAAATAAGTGTATTTGATTGCATGTGGTGTGTTGCATGAGTTTGCAAGAGTCCATTGAGTGTGGTCGAAGGGTTGGTGTAGGCTATTGGCACGTTGATTGAGTTGAGACACCCTATTTGGAAAATTTTGTAAAAATGTGTCAAAATGAATTTTAGTATCCAACTTTTGATGGAAAATGAATTTGGGTGTGAAATCGGTGCCATTAGCTAGAGCTAGGAGAAAACTTCGTATACACATCAAAACCACTTCAATCAGACGTCGGACAGAGATTTGAGACGCATCAGAAATTCGCTCCCTGTGCTGTCAATGACAGTACTAATCTATCAAGTTTTGTGCAATGCACCATAGCGCATGGCGCCTCACGTTGCGGCGCACAAACCGTAAGCCGCAGCGCACATGTCCAATTTGTGTAAAAATTTATTTTGAGTTTTAAAACTCATTATTTAGGTCCCAATTGATTTCCAAACTTTCGCTTTATTTTCAAAACTCTAATTTGGAGTCCTTAAAACATATTTGAGATTTGAAAGGTTGAAAATTGGGATCCCTTGAAATAGATTTTGAAAAATTCATTTATAAACCCTACAGTTTGGTAATTCTTGTGAGTTAAGCTCTGAATTACCATAATTTAGAGTTAAGTGTGATTTAATCTCAAGGAGGTTACAGGCACAATATAATTATTTCATTTAAAAAATTACCTCTAATCTTCTATTTTAATAAAAAAATTCTCATGTTATTTTTGTCCTCTAGCTATCTCTCTCACCCTCTATTAGGGTTGCACATGGGTAGGGTTAGGCCAAGCATCACCCAGTTCGGTGCCTAGCCCGATATGCACTTGGGCACCAGGCTAACCCGATTGATTTGAAAATATTTTTACAAGTATTTTTTTAAAAATATATAAAAAAAGTTTTCCTTGAAAAAAGTATTATTATAATTTAAAATATATTTTTTATAAAACTAATATTAAAATCAAAAGTAATTTTTTAAAAGTTCAAATGAGCAGTAATTGCCAATTACTTCCATATAATAATAAGTTAAAAATAAATTTTAAATTTTAAAAGAAATTTAAAAAATTGTAATGATAAAAAAATATCTAAAAGATCATAAAAATAATATAATTCATAATAACTTTCAATAAAAATAAACCATAAAATAAATATTATTCATAAAAATTTAAACAAATAAAAAAACTTGCACATGTTCAAGCAAGGTAAAGTTTGACACTTGCCGATGCTTGACCCCATGTGCCTAAATACTTCAAGAAAGGTCGAGCTAATGGGACATTCAGATATAATGTATAGCATTACCTCCCGCAATATTTCTCTTGCTCTTGCCATCTCTTTCTATTGTGCCTTTCAACACTATTACTTTGTTGTGTTTTTCTCTTGTACAACAAGAATGTTTGTTTAAATAACTTCATTACTTGCTTTCTCTTTTTTATTCTTAATTCTTGATTATCTTATTTAACTGTTAATTTTAATTATTATAATTGTTTAATAGACATTATTATTTTCTTTAAATTTAATCATATGGGAAATATTGAAAGAAAAAATTTAACTCATTCCATTCCATTCATTTTATAATAAGTCCCAAATAATGATCATATAAAAACATTCCTTCCCATCATAAAACTCTCAAACAATTAAAAATTTTATTTTATTTCACTTCACTCCATTCCGTTCCACTTTCTTAATAACCATTTCTTTTCATATAATCATAAACTTTCAAATGCACTTAGTGCCATAAGAAACCTGAAAGTAAAATTACAAAACAAAAAGAGTCGTCAAAAGCAGCGTTAGAATAAAATATTCATAGAAAACAACAAGCAAAAAGAGTGTTTGCCCAAGGAAGAACTATGTTGTGAACACTTCTAAATCAATTGTGCATATATATATATACAGCAAAAAGAAAGGTACATGAAAGTAAAACTATTAAGAATTTAGAAATATATATCCAATCAACAAAAACATTTTTTTTAGGGTAGAAAAGGAAAACTGTAGAGATGACTTCCAATGAAAAATAAAAGCACCAGCTCAAACTCTCTATACACATCAATATTTTCATCATTTATATATTGATCAAAACCTTTGAACCAATGATCAGACATATCAAGCAGCCAGCTGAATCACAAGTAAATTAAAATTTTGTAATAGAAGCAAAGCAAGATTCAAAAAAAAAAAAAAAAAATGCACCTCTCATTCAGTCATCCATTAACATGTTTTTGCAGCTCTAAAAATAAATTCTCCACCCTCATGAATTTGAATGAAAATATAAATATTCCTACTAATTTGTATTATTCAAAACCTAAATCAAAACCCACAATTTCTATGAAATCATGGAACAAGAGAGGAGAGAGAGAATTTGTTAGATCACAATAAACTTCTGAATTAACCGTTAGGTGTAATAATATATATATACAACAGAAACACATAAATGTCCTATGTGAACCATTCTCTTGACACCATCTTCGTCTCTGCCGGACACTCCCCTACTGAACATAAATTTATACCTACAACACGAACGAACAATGATTCCAATTACTTCCAATTACTTTCAATTTCAAAATTTATCCAAAACAGAAAGAAGGAATTATTCCCTAGCTGGTAGAAGTAGATGACGGTCTCGTGTGAATTTTTAAGCCGACACTAATTGCACTGTTATACTTCTAGCAAGCGAATCGGAATAATCATAGATGCACCCACTTTCAATAATTGATGAGGTGTAGATATTGGAACACACGACAAAACATCTACTGAAGTATAATCCAAAATACCCAATGTCAGACAGCCAAGTTTACAATGATCAAGATCTTGAAAGCCCTTGTGGCATTGCAATTTGTTTGATTCACATATTACAGTTCCAAAATCCCCTACTTATAAAATTTTAAATGCAAGGCAAGCTTTTCAAATATAAAAACACTGGTTGAGAACAAAATAGGCCTTCACTATCATTTAAAGGCCTCGTTGCACCTTAATCTTGAAAATATTATCTTACCAACCTTAATTGAAAATGAAAACAATCAGGTTACATATCACACTGTAAAAATATAATATATATATATATAGATATAACAGCAATCCAGTTTTCCAAGCTTCTAAAGCTTTAAATTGGATGAGAAGTCAAGGAAAACATCTAGGTTTAGGAAGGGGCGAGAGAAAGAGGGGTGGGGGATCTAACCCTTCAAGGCTTCAACTGAAGTTATCCAACATCAGTTTTTTTTTTTTTTTGGGGGGGGGTGGGGGAGGAAAAACGTTACCCAACATACAAAGCTTAAAAAATAATCACAATGATATGATAAAAGCCCAAAAATTGTTATTATCGAGATGACCCCAAGAATGAACTCAGAAATTCCATATATCCTGAAGGAAGTATGACAAAAAATAGTCCTATTAAAGAATGGCATCACTGAATGGAAATTTCATATGTTTTCTTCGGTTTTTCTGGGAAAACTAAGGTGTCAAACTTGTCAAGTGTAAAAACTCTTAGCATGAATGCATGATGACAACATAATTTCAAGAATGCCTCATTTCAATCCCTGAGCTTGAACGCATCACATCATATAGTAAGACTTCCCACTTTGCAATGCATAGAATAATACGCGAGACCTTTTTAGAAATTAATGGATCCGAGAATGGCAATAGAAGCATAATGAACATAGTAACTACACATATCACATGTAATGAATAGTCAAAAATTTAATTATTTCAATCTCTAAAATTGACATTGCAGAAAAGAGGAGGTTCAAAAATTTCAACTAAATGCAAAAAATTAAAACCATCCCAATAATTGGTTTAATGCCCAACTAAAAGTAAAAACTTGACAAGGGCAACAATGTTGATTGAAATAGTTATGGGTGACAAGAGAAATAAAAGTAATGAATAAAGGTTGGCAGTACTGTTGTGGCTTTCATGTATCAAGTTAGCCATGCTCGCATCTTTTTAGAATTGGAATCTGCTTTGGTAATGAGCAACATAGGAATGGGAAGAAATTTAGTGCTTTTGAAACTAAAGGGACATATGACATATAGAACAAAATAAAACCTGGAAATGAAGGAGAAACAATAAGTATGAAACGACATTTAGCTAGTACATGTAAATGAAAAAAGTGATAATGGTACGTTGCCATACGGCAACAATAGAATAAATGGTCAACATAATTATTAGAGAACGACCATGAAGAAAAACAATTATTAGATTGAGTTCAATCGTTATGGGGGAGAACAAACCTAAAGAACTAACCCATGCAATTTGGAAAGAAAAAATTTATTTAACTCTTGAACAATGACTTCGGCAATGACAAAAATTCTAAATCAATTCTAAAAAAATTATCATGTGATTAACAATTAAAGCAACCAATTTCCAGAATAATAACTCCAATCGAACTAATGATTCCAAGTCTCTAAAAGCACTTTCTATTTGCTTGATCCAAAACTGATAGTCCACAATGCAGCACACTCGTTGTATAATGAAAGTTAAAAGATAATCTTAACCAAACATCAATTGCTCCTTTTTATTCCCAATGTCATACCTTGTTTATATCATCGACCAACACATAGACCTATTTATTTATTTTTTAACTAAAACAAGAAATCATATATCAAATATCAAGGATCATACAAAAGCACCAAGAAAACAACCTAAATCCTCTCATAGACCTAGTTTTAATCACACACTGAAATTTACCATGTCAACAAAGCTGTTTCAATTCAGCAAGAGAGGCATAAATTTATTACCTCATCCAAGTACCTAAGTTGCACTCAAGCCGATACCTGAGCACCTTCACGATCATTTTTATCCTCTGCACCACCCGAATTCTCAGCTTCAGCTGTTGTACCTACAGATTCTGACTCAGTAGCAGTCTTGGCATTGCTCTCTTCCTTAAAAGTTTGAACTTCACCTTCAGGTAGAGATTCTGAATCTGTTTCCTTATTCCCAAACAACTTTGACGGAAGCAAAGAAGCCACTGCAGCTCTTGCACTTCTTTTTGCAGCTTCAGCTGCCTCAGCCTCCTTAGCCTTCGCTTCAGCCTTCTTCCTTTCCTTCTCCTCCATAAGCTTGGTCAACTCCTCCTCTCTCCCTTCTTTTCTCAACTCTGCCTTAACAAACTCCTGGAAATCCTCATCAAAATCAACTCCATTGTCATCCAACAAGGTATCAACTATTCCAAGAACCTCATCCAATCTTCCCTCATTGCTGAGCACTTCATCATAAACTGATAACTTGCAACATCCATTTTGAGTTTCTTGACCATCAGGTCAAAGAAAGACTTCGCCTCATCAATCCTGCCAACTTTACCAAGCCATCAACCAACCTATTGTAAACTGCCAGGTTTGGTCTCAGCCCAGATTCAACCATTTTTCTAAAATATGCGGCTGCATCATCTGGCCTATCCTCTTTGAAGCAAGTATCCATCAATAAACCATAAGTATACTCATCTGGGTTCACCTCTTTGCCCTCCATTTCGCCATAAATCTCCTCAGCTTCCACGAGCATTCCATTATTACACAATTGCTCAATCAAATTATTAAACGATAATGTGTCTGGGCTGCACCTATATTCACCCATTTTCCTAAATACTTCCATTGCCTCATTAAATCTTCCTTGTGCACAATACATCAACCATCACATTGAAGCTTCCCAAATTAACTGCCAATCGCCTTGGAGGGTTGTGCTCCCTTGTCATCCTATCAAACAACTTCAAGGCCTCATCAAACTTTCCGTTCTTGCTCAATGCATCCAAAACCGAATTATATGCAATGGCACTCATCTTCACCTTGGAATTCTCTCCAACAGCCTCCTCGTAACATTCCATAGCTTCTTTATCCATTTCCCTCAGGAAATACCCCTTCATCAAGCTCCCATACACAGCCCCATCTTCAATAACCCCTCCCAATTTTCCTTTCAACTCCTCATAAAGCTTAAACACGCCATCCGGATCTGAATTCCTGGCATGACCCAGCATCAGATAGTGATACACAATTGGGTCCGGCGCAAACCCTCTGCCATCCATTTCCTCTTTAATCTCATAGCTCGGTCCAGCTTATTGTTATCCACCAAACCTTTGATTAGAATACGATAAGTAGTAGGAGATGGGTTCATGGGGGCGTCATTGATAAATTGCTTGTAATGCTCCAACGCCGTATCGGGCTTTCGGCAATCAAGATACGTCTGAAAGATGAGATTATGAGTTATGATATTGGGTACAACACCAGCTTGGGTAATGAAACGATGGAGGGACAAAAGATCAGAGTATTTAGACTGTCGAAGAAGAGCAGTGAGCACGGCGTTGATGGTAAAAATCGTGGGCCGGCAATTAGAATAGATGGAGTGGCGAGTGTAGAGAGAAGCTTCTTCGAGGTCATTTTGGCGAATAAGAGTGAGGATGCGATTGTGGAGGTTGAGGCGATTACCCGTAAGAGCAGAAACATGTTCAGGGAGCTTAGGATTGTTAGGGTTCAGATAATACGGTGGAGATTGGGATTGAGGCTTGGCTTGCTGGGGCTGAGAGCGATTAAGAGCAGAAAGCGGAGGTTCGATACGGAGCTGGCGTTTGCGACGGCGTCTTTCTGCGGCAGCTTCTTCGGGAGATGAAAAGGAGAGGAAGCGAAGGTAGACGTAACAGAGTGGTTGTGGAAAATGATAAGGTTTGGCAAGGTTGAAGAAGATGGGTTTGGAGAGAGCCATTGATGTTGAGGATTGGAAATGGCAACGAAGTTGAGGGTTTCTGATAATTCAACAGCGATAGGGTTCTAAGAGGGTTTAGAATCCACTGTACTGCCCCTCTAGTAACTGAAACGATGTCGTTTTTCTGATATGCTTAGAGAATTAAAAAAAATATATTAATTAGAGTATATTTTTAATCCTTTAATTTTTATACAAGATTTTAATTTAGTTTTTTTAATTTTATAAAATATTTTTTTAGTCCTTTAATCATAACATCTTTAGTTTTAAATGATTACTTTTTGCATCAATCATTATTAATTTAAAAAATTAAATTTAATATATCAATATTTAAAAATATTTTGAATTTTTTATAAAGTTAAAGGACTAAAATAAAATGTTGTATAAAATTAAAGGACTAAAATAAAATGTTGTATAAAATTAAAGGACTAAATATATACTTTAACTAAAAATATTATAACAATTAGTATATTTTAAAAGATTAAATTAATGATAATTAAATTCTTCACAATTTTTTTTAAAAAATGAATGACTAAAACACACACTATGGACAAATTTTATATCAATTGAGAACCTTAAATACTCTAATATTGCAGTACACCCTTGTGGTACTTATTTAGAAATAAGTTTTTATGGAACAATACCTAATTACTCCTCTTAATGAAAAGGTCAAATGGGTTGTTGCTATGAATAAGTTATTACCAAAACTCAAATGACTTGCTTGTATAAATTCCACTTATCCACTTCAACATGTTCTATCAATTTTTCTAACCAATTCATTCCCAAATAGATTGTTATTAATTATGAATAGATTATTGTTAAAATTTTAAAAAATACCACTTCATCTCAAATTATAAGGCACTTTTAAAAGAGTTTTTTCCGTTTCAAAATATAAATACTTTGAATAAATTACAGTTTTCATTAAATGTACAAATTCTAATATTATTCTTCTTCTCTCTATAATTAATTGTAGTTTCTTTTCTTTTTAATATATTAAATTATGAATATTTTTAAAAATTTTTATTTTTATTTTGAAAAGATAAAATTGTTAAATATATTTAATGAAATTTATTGATATGTAAAATTTTATTTAAAAATGTTTTATAATTTAAAACGAAAAGAGTATTTGTTTAAACTAGATTAATACTTGCCAATTCAACATGTCATTTTAATTTTTCTAATTTATCAACTATCATCAACTATATCTTACAAATCGCATAAATGCAACCTCATTGACCCAAAAAATCTGCAATCTGACTAGTCCGAAGACTTTGGTCTCATGTTAATATTCCAACCTCATTGGCCAATTTCATGGATTACGTATACAAATTTTGGGTTCCAATCATCTGCACCTAGCTTTTCAAATTTCAAATGTTATTAGCATTTTCCATGGGAGCCTAAACCATTTTCGCGTTTTTCATTTATGATTATTGTCTCCTCCAGTTCCTCATGCTTCTTCAATTTTTCCATCTCAATTTCTCCCAAGTGCAATTTCAAACGTAAGAACTTTCACGGGAAAGCCAATTGATTCCACCTTCTCCATTATGGCCTTGTCTGTTGCACTTTCCCAAGGTTTCTGGCAGCTACAGTTAGATCTTAAGAAGTCAGAAAATGAAGTCGTTGCGAAGGGAAGGGAGGGAGCAGACAATGGTGTTAGGGAGGTCAAAGCGAAACCAGAGGAATAAAGGTGTGGGTGATGGAAGGCAGAAGGCCGAGGAAGATGGTTCTGTAGGGTTTAGAGAGAGGGCCTTCAATGGAGATGACGAAGGCAACAGCACGATCATTAGAGCAGTCACCTTCCAAAGTCTACCATGGAAATGAAATGGCCCATGCCTGGGCTTGAAATTATGACCACCATGGAGGGCTTCAAAATCAAAGAATGAGAGGGTTCTATGGAAGCCATCCCTGAAAAGGCAAATGCTAAGCTTTGAGATGTTCTTGATATGGAAGATTGAATATTTCTGAACAAGAATGAGGAAAGAGAATTAAATAAGTTTATAAACTCTTTTCTTTTAACCTCCATGTTCTATAGAATTGCAGAAGAATTCTGATGGGATTCGCATATCTTTATTTCAACCTCTTCGAAGTTTCATCTGCAACTTCAATCATGATGCAATAGGTCACCATCACTACCATACAAGTTTACATGAAACCATGCGACCTGAATTAACACATGGGTCGTAACAAAACTTAAAAAAAAAAGTATGCCAAATGCTTAAAACAAAAAAGGAAATATCATGTAGGGAAATATTATATAATATCCCCTCATCGTTAGGATAATCCAACGTGTAGTCTGAACAAGCAAAAATACATCTTGCATCAAAAAATGAGCAGACTTCTTTTTCATTCAATAAAATAAAATTTTTTTTGGGGGGGGGGGGGCGCTATGAAAATAAAATAAAACAAAAAGATAAAAAGAATATTGAATTGCATGATATAACCAGTGGATTCAAGCCCTCCTTGATCTCCTGAGATAAATGGGACAAGCCCAAAAGACTTCATACTAACTGCAGTCTTCTATGTACACAAACAACCTTATCCTTGCAGGGGTGAAAAAACATGTCCCAACATATATATCCTCCCAACTTTGAACTGGGCTGAGGGCAGACACCCTCCAAAAATGCATGAAAACATGAATTGTCAAGCAAATCATCGGTCGACCATCAGTCAGTATTTGTAACCTGAAGAACCAGGCGGAGCCGGCGGTAACCGTGTTGGTGTTCGACGGCTGCTCGAGTTTGGACCATAATTAATGTCACCATTCTGGGTGGGCCGACCATGACCGTTGGATCTGGATCTTGAAGAACTGCTACGACTAATGGGGCCATTGGCAGCCACATCAAAGGCAGTTCTCCAGTCATCACCACCTGAACCAGTGCTTCTGGGACTGCTCTCTGCAAAATAGCCATCTAGAAGTTTAAATAAAGAGAAGGAAAATAAATAAATAAATAAACAAGATGCCTCTGGTCAACACAGCAAAAATGTAACTAGCATTAATCCTACCAACATTCTTATGCCCCGTTTCATAGCATGCAAGAGTTTTTATGGAAGTGGAAGAAGTGAGGTGGAAATAGTCTTAAAACATTTTCTGTTGGCACATATAAAAGTGGGGTATTTTTTATGAACGAAGCGAGAGAGAAAGTGGATTCCATGAGTATGAAGGTGGAAGTGAGTTCCACCAATTTTGATGGAATCGGATTCTTTAAAGTAAGATTCATTATACCAAACAACTTTTTTTTTTTAGTTTCACTTCCACTTCTCCAATCCCAAGCTACTAAACGGGGCATGGAAATGTGCAACTAATGAAGGTTGCAGGATAAAATTGCAGAGGAGAAAATATTATCTTCTCCATCAAAACATTAGTTATTTAATGTTTGTTCGATAGTAAGAATATGGGAAAACAGAATTTTAAATATTGATAATATAAAGTAATAAAAAATACCAAATATACCTATTTTTGGAACTTCATTAGCCAAATAAATAAATAAATAAATAATGAAAGAACCCTCATTTATGTTTTAATGAATTGATTTTGTTCAACGCCACCTAAGAAAAGGTTTTCCACCAACCTGGTGTATTATCATCTGGCCAGTTAGAGGCAGCAGCTGCTCTGTCATCATGTATACTCAGCTGGCGTGTCAGTTTTGAGAGAAGTGAGGATTGTTTCTCATAACGCTCTCTCCTACGCTTTACATTATGGTCTTCTTGAATCAGCTCCTCTATTTTCGCGGTGCTTTGAGCACTGCCCAGCAGAGAGAAGTATGAAATTGATAACCATATTTTGTAAGAGAGGAGAAACTAAGATTGATCAACAGTCAGATTGCATAAAAATGGGACATCGATGTTAATCAATATCAATATGTATAAAAACTAGCGGATTCCATGCAATTCATAATCAGCCATGAACAATACAACTTACAGCCTATCTAGTTGATTTTGTAAATAAATAAAGAAAGAAATAAAAAAGAAGCATACACAAAAGCTTAGATTATACATTTTAGACGAGGTATGCCACTTATGGAAGCAGGTTCAAGAATTCTTGAAGTTGAAAGCCTGCCAAGGATGTGTTATCATGTAGGGTGCTAATTGCCAAAGTTCTTGTATTGCCTAAGTTTGCCGTAATTTGTTCATGTCAACCGGAGTTTAATTTGTAAACAGTTGCAAGCTTTGTTAATTCAGCAAAGTTTTAGATTGCAATAGGATTAAAAAAATCCTTACACCAATAGTTATTTTTTGCACACTCAAAGTAAAATGTATGAGATTCTTTAGGTGGTTGTAGTATTAGCTAAATAAAGGTTGAGAATCAAGAGTAAATTTTCAGGTAAACTTTTGCCTGCCAAAAAAATTATTTACGTAAACTTCGTCTACAAAAATTTGGTAGACCAAACAATCACAAAGAGCCATTTATTTCAGGTTAGGTTCAAAGACATTCTCAATGATTGATCACAAATGAGCTTCTCAATAAAATATTGTGTTTGGTCACGTCCTTTTCTCCCTAACCTTTTCTGTTCCTCTTTCCTCTCAAAACAAAACAAGTCAAAGGAAAAAAAAAAAAAGCTTTAAAATTTTCAACTTCCCTACTTACTAGATCGAAACAAAGGCAAATTAATATACAATAGAAGCATCAATTCACAGCAAAAGGCAAGGCCCAAAACAATCATAAAAGACTTATAAATAGAGAATGACTATAGCATGAAGAAAAGAGAAAATCTGATTACAAGAAACAAAAACAAATGCAGAAGTGACAAGAACTTCAAAAACCTGACAGAGCTATATAATTGATTTAGCATGTCTTCCTTAGCCTTTTCAACTTGGCAAAGGACAACTGCCTGCTCAAACAATCAACCAGCAAATGTGTTAAAATACATTGACAAAACAAGGATAGAAAAAAGGAAATTGTAAACAACAGCTTACCTTCGGTACATTAGCAGCTAAACTGTTCAGAACAGCTTCAACATAGCCACGAACTTCCTGAGCCATCCATCTGAGTTCTTCTTCAGGATCAGCAGGCCTTCGAGCCATTGTATCCTAGTAAAGGATAAGAAAATAAATTGAGCAATTTTTTGTTATTTATAATATATAGGCTATTGACTGCACACAAGGGCAATAGCTATGAACTGGCAACACACCAAGGAACCGTCAGAGAGACTATGCCTCATGGTAGGGCCACCCTCAGGTGAAACCAATATTTGTCCTCCTTTTTCTCGTATAATATTACTTATTTTATTGATCCATTCAACTTTATCAGCAGTGCTCTCAGCCTTTAAAATAACAGCACTATGTGCTGCAAGATAAGGAAATCATGATTAAAAATGTCATGAAAGATCACAAATAAAAGTGAGGAGCAGAACAATAAGTAGCCATATTAACAAGGGAATTTACCTTTCAGAACAGTTTTATATGGAATTCTGGAAGTAATCTTGAACACAAGATTCAGTTTTTTAGAATCAGGTCCATTGGACTTCTTATCCTTTGAGCTTTTAGATGGAGGATCCTGTTCCTCAGAAGTTTCTTCAACATTGCACTCCTGGATAACAAATAAATCATATTGTTATCAGGAATATAATTTATGCTCTCTCCATGCTTAGACAATAGTACAACCCATGCAAACGAAGCTATTTTGCATGATGAGATCAATCAAAGCATTACGTGAACTATCAAAAGTCAAGAGAAATACACTACAAAATTCTGTAAAATGAAACAAGAGAAAAGGATAGAAAAAAGTAAAAGAGCCATTGAACAATAGTACCCATTCCCATAGAAAATGTTACACGTATAAGAAGTCAAAGCCATCTATCATCAGCGGGGAATAAAAAAATTTACTCTGGTTTTAATTCTCACATATACAAAAATGATAAAGGAAATGGAAGAGGAGAAAAGAATAGCTTTTAACAGAGAGAGCAAGAATGATAAGAAAGAATTTATCATAGAAAGTCTTAAAAAGGTTCTAATTTCCTATGACTCTTTAGATGGATTACACGAGTGCGCATTTGGCAGTTCATGGTAATATACACAGCACAAGGCCAAAATCATAACCAATCAAACGGCTAAGAATTAGATCCTTGCTATTGCCACCTCATTCATCAGGATAATATTGAACTTTCAGCAATCGTTATGGCAGGTCCATACATCTAACTTAAGCTCAAAACCTTCTACCCTTAGGGGACACATTAGAGATATTAACGAAATCATTGATCATTCCTAAACCTTCTTACAGCTTAACTACTTAGAAATTAGATTGAAGTGGTCCAAGACAACGCTTTTCTTTTTAGTTCACGCCAATGATGATTCTTAACCATAACATATTTCCTAAACAAGGGTAAATGCCAACCAAGTACGCAATAAACCACTTATGAAATGAATCCATTCAAGCACCCATAAAATCAGTTTTAGAATGTCCAGTCATATCATAGTTGGATTATAGAATCTCTGCCTCCACAATTCTACAACAACAACAACAACCAGCCTTTATCCCACTAGGTGGGGTCGGCTACATGGATTGCAAGACGCCATTGTGTTCTATCATTTATTAAGCTGTTAGAAATATTATTAATTAAGAGATCACGTTCAACAACTTCCAAGAGTGTTCTCTTAGGCCTTCCTCTACCTCTCTTAATCGGACTCAAAGTTATATGTTCCACTCTTCTCACTGGTGCCTCCCTTGGTCTTCTTTGTACATGCCCAAACCATCTCAACCGATTTTCTACCATTTTTTCCTCAATAGGTGCCACCCTCACTTTTTCACGTATGTGCTCATTTCGAATTTTATCTTTACGTGTATGTCCGCACATCCATCGTAACATTCTCATCTCTGCTACTCCAACTTTATGCTCTTGCTGTCCCGTTAGAGCCCAGCATTCACTACTATATAACATTGCCGGTCTGATAGCAGTACGATAAAACTTTCCTTTAAGTTTATTAGGCACCTTACGGTCACAAATAACTCCTTTAGCTTTTCTCCAATTAAACCACCCAGCTTGAATTCTATGTGAAATATCTCCACTGATTTCGCCATCATTTTGAATAATGGCTCCCAAATATCTAAACTTTTCCACTTGAGGTATAATTTGATCTCCCAATTTCACTTCCAAATTATTTTCGAATAGTCCTTTATCAAATTTACAATATAAATATTCCGTCTTACTTCTACTCAGACGAAAACCTTTCGACTCCAATGTCCTCCTCCATAACTCAAGTTTGCAATTAACCTCTTCTCTTGTCTCTGCTATAAGAACTATATCATCCGCGAAGAGCATACATTTCGGGATTTCCTCTTGAATATGTTCCGTCAAAACATTTAAAATCAAGTTGAACAAATAAGGACTCAGAGATGATCCCTGATGTAGTCCAATCTTTATAGGAAAATCCTTTGTTTGACCACTAGGCGTTCTTATACTAGTTTTTACCCCCTCATACATATCTTGTATGGCTTTAATATAAGCAATCCGTACTCCCTTTTTTTCCAACGCTTTCCAAAGCACTTCTCTTGGTATACGGTCATAAGCTTTTTCCAAATCAATAAAAACCATGTGTAGATCTTTATCTTTACAACGATACTTTTCCATTAATCCCCTTAGTAGATAAATCGCCTCTGTAGTTGATCTACCTGGCATAAAACCAAATTGATTCTCAGAAATACTTGTCTCCAATCTCAACCTGTGCTCAATTACTTTCTCCCACAATTTCATTGTGTGGCTCATGAGTTTAATCCCTCTATAGTTAGTACAACTCTGAATATCTCCTTTATTTTTATAAATAGGAATTAATGTACTTCTCCTCCACTCATCAGGCATTTTCTTGGACCGTAAAATCACATTAAATAACTTAGTTAACCATCTCACCCCTTCTTCACCTAAACATTTCCACGCTTCGATAGATATACAATCAGGTCCGTTAGCTCTACCATTTGCCATTTTTTTAAGAGCTTCCTTTACCTCCTTATCACGTATTTTTCGATAGAATGACAAATTTTGTTCTCCTTCACCAGTTACTAAATCCTCCAAGTTATTAGATGAATCCTCTCCATCATTGAAAAGTTTTGAAAAATAAGTCTCCCATCTATTTTTAATTTCATCATCTGTAACTAAAATTCTTCCCTCTTCATCCTTAATACACCTTACCTGTTCTAGATCTCTTGATTTTCTTTCCCTACTCTTGGCAATCTTATAAATATTTTGCTCTCCTTCCTTCGTCTCAAGGTTCTTATAAAATTCTTCAAAAGCTTTAGAACGAGCTTCACCACAGCTCTCTTAGTTTCCTTCTTAGCCATACGGTACCTCTCCCAATTTTCCTCATTGTTACACAAATGTATGGCTTTAAAACAGTTCTTCTTATACTTGATTTTGTCCTGTACACTATTATTCCACCACCAAGACTCCTTATCTCTCAGACCAGAACCTTTCGATTCTCCCAAAACTACTTTTGCAACCTCCCGTATCTTTTTAGCCATATCCTCCCATATGATGTTAGCACTTCCCTGAGAATCCCAAATTCCTTTATCCAAAAGATTTCTCTTGAAAATATCTTGCTTCTCACCTTTTAATTGCCACCACCTAATCCTTGGTGTTACTACTTGTCGACGTTTTTGGATTTTACTCATAATACACACATCAAGGACTAGGACCCTATGTTGTGTCGTTACAGCATCTCCAGGGATCACCTTACAATTTTTACAAAGTTTTCTATCTGTGTTCCTAACCAAAAGAAAATCAATCTGCCTCCACAATTCTAATGCAAGCAAAATCATAACGTACATCTGATTAAGGAAACGGGCAAGTATTGACAGTTCTACATACCTCTAATGTAATAACACCACGGAAGTTTCTTTCCTCTTGCTTTTTGTATAACCAAGCTGTGAGACAAAAAAATAAAACTATCGAAGTTAACAACACATACAACAGATTGTATGGGTAGTCAATTTTATCTCTCAAACCAAAATAAATCAAGAGTTCAAGATGCAAGACAAATAAAAGAATATGATGATAAACTGTTAGTAACTAATTTAAATGAGATTCAAGTAACCAATATTAAAGATAAAAGAGCAAGATTAAAATATGAAATTTAAGAAAAATTATGATGAAATACCACCAAATGCAAGTATAAATATGACATTCTTGCAAACAGTAGCAAACCTTTCCCGTCTTTGCATTCAGCACAAACCATCGCCTGCTCCAACCATTTGTTTTTGCGCTTTTCTTTAACAAATATCCTGCAAGTCGGAAGATTAGAACTTAGCTTAATATAATGATGATTAAAATGCGAGTATCAGTAATTCAAATTAATGAAATAAGTGTCTTTGCCAATTCCAGCTTCCAAATCTAAAGCACAGCTTGGCATGTGTTAGGAATGCCTTTCTAGTAAGTAATTTGGCAAAGAAACAGAATTATCTGAGCTTTGGAAGTGAAATAAAACAACTACCATATAACATTTAGAAGTATGAATACCTATGTTGAATTCACTTTCAAAATATGAACTAAGCACACATGAAACACCTAAAAAACAGCAGAAAAATTTATGTTGGACTCCATAAAGTAACATGCAAAAAGTAAGCATTTGATCTATATAACATTTGATATTTTCTTTTTGAATTTACGAGAAGTGTGCTCAAGTCATTTACTTATTTTATAAAATAGTTGTTCATTAAATGGAGACCACAAAAGGCAAGAGAGGAATTAAACCCCGCTTTTGACTGAGAAGTCAAATCCATATGCCAACCTAAATAGTACATCCCAATGAGTATTTAACAGAACTCAAGCAATCTTTACCCACAAAGGAAAGATGTGCAGGGAGGAGAGGTGGGGTGGAATAGAAAGACTAAACATGTAACTGATAGGGCTAAAACTTCAAAAATTCCGGTACAACAAAAATCTTGGTCATTTTCCAGTAAATTAGCATCCAACAATGAAACAATTCAAACTTAAAGATCACAAATTGTCTTAGTCCACCAAAGGAAAAAAAAAAAGAAAAAGAAAAATTGGCCACAGGCCCAAAACAGAAACCGTTTTACAGAGAAGCAGCATGGAATAGACATATAGACCTGCTGTTATTTCTCCTTCAGGACCAGCAGTCTTTAGACCAGAAGCTTCTTGTCCTTCTTTCTCTGCCTGACCTGATTTGTCCTTTTCCTTATCTTTGTCCTTCTCCTCCTTCATTGATTTCATGCTTCCACCAGTTTGAGGGCTAGTTGCCTAAGATATTGTAGTTAGCAGGCAAAGCATAGGGTCAACACATATCAGTAAGTTCCAAAAGCAGAACCTCTTTCATTATATTCTACAAATTCAAAGCAACAGGCAACAATATGTGACCACCTACCCGGTTGAGTAAAGATTGTTCAGCATCATGCCCTTTCTTTGAGGACCGATTTTTCAGCTCCTCCTCCCGACGCTGCCTTTCCATCCTAAAGTAAATAACACAGGACAGTTAGATAGATAATAATCTCACATGCCAGAAGCTAAGAACATGCCAACTTAAATTGATCAAACGTCATCAGCATGTCCATTTAAATATTCCCAAATAATTGTTCTATGACAAAAGCACATAATCATCAGTTACTAACATGTAAAACTTAATCATGTCAGGAAGCTAAGACAAAGGAAAATAGATATCACAACTCAAGCTCTAATAACATTTATAAATTAATTACCTCCTTTGCACCAAACGAATGAAGTGCTGGGGCGGCACAAATGCTCGTTCCATATCAACTAGTGCCACCACCATTTTCTTTGCCTCATTTTTAAATCCATCCAGTGCAGCCGTTGCAATAGCCACAACCTAGTAAATTTTAAGAAACATATCAGGATTGAAAGAAAAGACGTATACCTAATCCCACCCAGTGAGGCTCTCAAGCAGAAGATATAAACTTTAATTGGCAAAGAAATACAATTGTTAAGTAGAAAATGAACTAACTTGACATTTACTTGGCAAAAGAAATATAACAATGAAGCTCATAGCCATACCTCCCTCTTGAAAGAAGGGTATCTTCCTAAACCAGGTGTAGCGCTGGCAGCAGCTGAAACAATATCCATCAGGACCCGATGTACCTGAACCATAACCAAAAGAATATCTGTTAATAGCCATAAAAACACATACACACAAATAATTCATTGGGAATAAAATGCACAAAGTATTGTGTTTTATGGAAAATTTTGTTATAATCAAATAATTTGAATTAGACTCCTTTAAATATTATTAACACACATAATTCATCGGAAATAAAATGCACAAAGTATTGTTTTATGGAAAATTTTGTCATAATCAAATAATTTAAATTAGACTCCTTTAAATATTATTAGATAAATGAAAGTAGTCATCACTTTACACACGGTGTTTACAGTTGCAGACCAAACAAATTTATAGATATTTTATGTTAAAAAGGCAACCACTGAAGGTTCAACTACAAAAAACCAGCGACAGCATAGAAGGCAGTAAACATGGAAACTAGATCAAAGCTATAAATGACAAGCCAACTCAAAGAATGATGAACAGCAGGCATTACTATCAAAAACTGCTAGTAATCAAACCCAAAATGACAAAAGAAGACAATGCACAAAATATAAATACCTCATCCACACAAAGCCGTGATGGTTCTTTTGCAAGCTCCAGGACGCCTTTAATCAGAGATCTTAATCCCTTTTCAGGGGAAATGAGATATGGCTGATAACCGTCAGCTTCTAGCACAATCTAATAATTGAACAACCAAGTCAGTAGAAGTAGCAAAAACAAAAATCAGAGCCATATGTGAGCGTGCATGCACAAGTGCACATCCAAAAAAGTAGGACAAAACTTACCCTTTTTACATTGTTGATGTCAAAATGCCTATCTAAAGGTAATTGCTTCATTCTATTAGGAAAACTCCCCTCAAAACTAGCAACAATTTTCCATCCAGATCCCTGCAAGGTTATTCATAGTAAATATAGAAGGATACTCAACTTATAGGAAAAAGATTTATGATTGATAAAACATGTCCGTATCTACTTGTCAACAAATCAACAAACGTAAAATATGCTATTTTACTAATTCAGCGGTGAGCATGAGAATGATTAAGGTTGGAGATGTTAAGAAGTATATCCAAACCTTCTATCATCTCCTGCCTTGGGGAAAAGTGGTGGTTGAAAATGGATATTTTGAATACAAACTAATCAAACATGTTTCCTTTTCCAAAACCTCCCAAAGATTGATCTTCTCATAAATAAATTGGATATAAAAGAGCAAACAAAGTTCTTTTTAGCAAACACCAACTTGAATCCACTGAGATAAATAAAATCTAGACAAAGAAAAGTTGGTGCAAGAGAAATTAACATTCCTTGTAACAGATCAAATGAGATGAGATCTGTTAAAATATAAGATTGAGGAAACTCACCTCACCAGTGGTAATATGTTGTAAGAACTTATCCTCAAATTCACGGCAAAGTTCCAAGGCTATGGCACGTGTACCCTCTGCAGTGGTAACCATTTTCTCACCAAGCCTCACCAATTCATCTTGAATTATCTGAGACTTCCCTTGCAACCTAATCAGTTAAAAAGTCAGGATTAATGGAATCTTTCCCTTTTCAAACTCAATTGCATTGCCAATGTGGGTAGGACCACACTCCTATTGATAAAAAAATAAAAAAGTAGGAAAAAAAAAAACAAAATCTTCATTGCGAAAGGCAATACAATTTTTCATAACAGTATGAAAAACTCAGAACTTACATGAAATACAGCTAGGATAAGAAGACCATGATTCAAGGACAACTCGAAACAGATACACTGGTTAATAAGCTACTCAAACTGGAAATAAAACCAGATTTCACGCTGTCTTTTCCATGCAGGAAGGTTTTTAACAGGAAAACATTTTACCAAAAACGATAAGGAACCAACATTGAAACAGAAAATCAATCTTTCATTAAGAACTCACTGGACTAAATCATCATCTGCTACCCTTCAGTTAGGTTGCCTCTACCAACAAAAAATTAGATGAGGAGGCAAAAAGAAATTGATGCTTCCAATTACCGATAAAATGCCATATTACAACATATGTAAGTTACCCAGACAGAAGGTTAGGCAGCCTGAGCTTCATACGATTCCGAATCTGCTTTGCCAAAGCATCCACCAAAGCTATCCTTCCAAGTTTACTTGGAGGAGCTCCAGTCAATATCGATTTAAGGCTTTCGCTCTCTGCCCTCCATGCAGTTTCCAATGAACTTTCAGAACCAGCAGATCCAGACTGTGCTGTTGCTATTGAAACTGATTGACCTATCAAAGCAACCCAAGGTATATCTGATGTTCTTGCAGGACCCTTATTTGCTAGAAGTGCTTGAACTGCAGCCAGAGCCTTCTGGTCTGATGCAGCTTGATCAATTTTACTTATAACCCCAATGGTCCTTGTACCTACAACATAATTTTATAGTTTTTATTACCTATTTAGTCAATTAATGAAAAAGAAAAACTGAGAAGAGAGAGCTCAAATAAATCTAGAGTAACAGAGATACATGGATTACACATAGCAATGAACCCAAAAAGAAATGATAAAATTAAAAATGATATACCTTCCCCATCATATTCCTTGGCAACTCTTAAGGCTCGAGATGAGGCAACTTCAGGTGCTTGAGCAGCAGGTACTATAACCAGCAAAATAGCATCATTATGCTCTGCATATTCACTAACCTATGCAAAGAACATTGTATATAACATTAGAATCCCAACAATATTTGGATATAACTAACCAAAATACAAAGTAGAAATAACAGAACAAAATATAGGAGAAAAGAATCTCAGTTCAATTTCAATAGATTAAAATACAGGTCAAAAAATATCTCAGGATCAGAAAAATATATGAAAAGGGCAGGACACCATTTACCATTGATTCATCCATAATGCGCTGGTCCAATCCAGGTAAATCTACTAACTTGAGTGGTGGCGCTGGAAAGACAAAAGATTAAAGGGAAAAAGCTAAGTGTAAACAGGGAGAAGAAGGTTATATCATCATAGCAGCGGTCAGTTAAACTAAATGATTCAGCAAGTATAAAATAGAGATCATTTATGGGTGCAAATCAGAGACTACTTTCAGAAGTTATCTCATACAATATATCACTATATATTCATTGCATGCAGCACTAGGAAATTATCTTATAACGATATTGCGGGCACCCTGCCTTGCACATTGTCAATGGTAAGTGGCATATTCATGGATTATAAATGGTAAAACTTGCAACTGATTTTAAGCTGCTATACTGATTGATATATTAATGTACTAATAAGTTTTAAAAGGCATATTTTAATTTTTGTCACATGGCTTCTAGACTTCATTGAATAATATATATAGCTAGAGTGACACTATATTAAAGCAACAATGCAAATGGGAAAAGAGGGGGAAAGCAGAATCAGAAATTTTCTTCACAAAATTCTAAGTAGCTAGCAAAACAAGCTATAGGTTTCTAAACATATAAAGAGGGTAATAACTATCAACCATTACTCATCAACAAACCTGTGCTTGTCCGTAGTTTCAAATATATTTGATCTCGGCTCTTTCCTGAGACACCTTTACTCAATCTATCCTGTAATGAATGCCGTAAAGCACCTGTAGCAATTAAGCAAAGCATGTTGAGACCTTCAGCAGAAAAGATAAGTGCAGACTGTAGCATATAGGCCATTATATGTAAACGAGAATAAAAATAAAAATGTCAGTTTGGCCTGTATGGCGAAGAAAAATTATCAAATTTCCAAACACCATCACTGATCCCCCCATTTGCTATATGCATAGTGCATGCAAAACAATTATGAAATTAACATCCCAAAATTATTTCAAATTTAAAACCACATGAGGTACCAACGGCAATATTACATGATAAAGCATTGTTCAAGAAAAGAAACCACATAAAACAATAGAAACTAACTTGCAGAAACTTGTTGCGACTTATTATCAATCTGCAAGACAATTGACTTGCTGCTCAAGGAACCATCCTGCTGTAGATCAATGCATATAGGAGCCCGTGTAGCACCATTTTCACCAGTAGGCTGGGAATAAAGGAGACTTTTGAGAATAAAAGTGTTTGTAAAAAAAGTATTGTATCTTAGTTAAATGAAATCACATGAAAATCCATAAATCCAACTCACCAGAACAGGATGCCCAATCAAACTGTTCAAAACAGCAGACTTACCAGCACCCTAAAGAATTTTGGACAAACCAAAGAATCAAGAAAAAGTTACATCGTCTTTCGTAGACAGATAAAAGAAGTATCAAATATCAAGGAAGTAGGTAGCAAAAGAAAAATAGTGAGATTAAAATTGAGTTCAAACTGATTCTAATTCCTCCCCAAGATCAATAAACACAACTAAATGTTAGGCTTCAATAGTACTGGAAAGCCTTCAAATAATTTATATAATTTATGAATTGCAGTGATCTACAATTATCTTCACAGCTGTGAGCAAACAAAAAATACGGATCTTCATATCCTTCAACATACACATGCCCCCTATAACAGAGAAGCTTACATGCAAGGGTATCACGGACCAATTACTCTTTAAAGTCAAAGGGGAACAAGCACTAAAAATGTTTATTGTTACATTCTCACTATGGCAAATAATGCATGACTTTCTTGGGGTTTGATAACGTAATTATTGTTGTATACATCTACCAAGAACATCAAACCATTAACTGATCCTGCACTGTTTTTACTCAAAATAGAAGCCTTTAAAGTACTGATTACAAAACCAATGAAAGTCGAAGCATATATATATTATGAAGCATGTAATATTTGTTTTATGAATTTCAAAAATTAAATTCAACAACAGAAAGCCACTTTCTAATCTCAAGTCAGAGTTCAATCTGCACCTTAACCAAAATTCCATACATGGGGCATGGGCAACTAATTTAAGAGTGCATCAACCAAGAATTAAGTACATAACCTTTTGACAAAGGAAAAAAATAATAATAACTCATTTAATACCCCGTACAATATCAGTCAAATTTTCAAATTCCTTCAAAACATTTTGAGGAAACAATTTGCCGAAACTTTCAAAATACAAATCCATTCATAAGTAAATTAGCACCAGTAACTGGAAGTCATTATAAGTTCCGTAGGTAAAAGGATTCAATTTCAATGTTCGATCATCGACCAAAACGCAGAAAATTGTTTAATTTTGCAACAAGGCACCTTATAAAAAAATTATTAAGTAATAAATTCATCTGATCCCAGGTTCCATTGCGAATTTGCGATCACAGGGTACCACAATCGTCCACCTCAATATCACAAGTACTATTTGTACAAAAATGGCTAAAGACCTAAAAAAACAAAGATTGAGAAATCCATAAGCTCAAAATGACTAGGGGAAAAAAAAAGCAAGCATAGCACTCTTCTTCAATACACTACATCCAGAAATCAAGTATCAGACACCCACAAATGAATCATCGAAATGAAAGGAAGGCAAAGGAAGTCGCAAAGCTTTGACACCCAGTACTCACAACGTTGCCCAGTGCTACAACATCGAGGAAAGTGGAGGGCCTCCTTGAAGATGAGTTGGGGTTCGACTCATCAACATCTTCGTCGGCGAGCACTGCTGCAGCTTGGCGCATCGCAACAGCAAGCTGGGACAACTCCTCGATCGCCTCCATCAATTGCGGAAATCAAGGATCCAAACCCACAACTGTTCACCTGTAAGTTTATTTGAGTCCAAAATATGAGTACTATATCGGGATCGATCGAAATCGAACCCTAACAAGTGATTCACAACGATCTAAGTGTATAAATCAGATCTCTCTGAATCCAAAAGACTGAACTTGAACTCCACCAATGAGATTCCAAACAGTGAAATGAACAATTACTAATCTTTCTTCAATTTGAGAGAGAGAATTCAAACCGCAACACACACACCACTCTCTCTCTCTCTAAGCTTTTTCAAATGCTTCTCTCGTCTCTTTTATTTTGAATCTCGTTTTGTTTTTGAGTTTCAACTATCGGACAATTTTATTCTTCATTTTTAAATTAAATTTCCCATCACAAAAATTTTACTTCACCGCTTTTTATTTTAACAAACTGAAAGCTCTCATTTTTCTTAAGAAAGTTGAGAAATTTCTGTGTAGTAAATCTAGGATCGAATCTCGGGCAAAAGAAGGATCTCAAACAAAAAAGAAATCTAAGAATTGTGTCATTGAGCTTTTCTTTTTTACCTATGATTAATTTTATATTTAATTTAATTTAAAATACAAAAAGCTAGATAGGTGTTTAGTTAGGCCACCTTGTGGCTTACGGGAAAGGTTTCTTTCTTTTCTTTTTTTTTTTATAAAAATTAATTATTTAATTTTAATTTAATTATAATTCAATTCATAAATTTAATTTATTATAACTCAATCATTAAAATTTTAACTCAATTACAATTTAATCTTTTAAAATTTGATTTGATGCAACTTCGTTCCTAAAGTTTTAAACATTCAAAATATTAGTATCTATATTTTAAAAAATAAAATTAAAAAGGTTAAATCTTTATAATCTATATCAAATTAAAAGTTTTAGTAATTTTGAATTAATCTCTAAATGTCAACATAATTTTAATTTTCAAAATTTTATTTTTAAGATATAAGGATCAATATTTTAAATTATTAAAATCATACATACTAAGTTGCAGTGAGTTAAAATTTAGAAATTGAATCACAATTAAATTAAAATTATAAGAATCGAGTTATAGTGAATTAAAATTTAAAAATTGAATTATAATTAAATTAAAATTATAAAAATTAAATGGTTAATTTTTTTTCATCATTATGAAAAGGGTTTATAATCTCTGCCTTGATACTCATCATCATTAGCAATTAATGAATTAAGAATATTGGGCACATTAGAACAACCTCGAATTTCCCTCTTTTCTTGTACGGCTAAAAAGCAAGAATCATGAACAAACATTTTCCTTAACCTTTTTTAATGCAAAGCCACACTTAAAAACCATGGAACAAAATGAATATTAAATTAGAATTCAAAGAGAATTTGCGCCGAAGCAATGGAATTTCAAAAGTTGTGGCATCAAAATTGTTGTTGATAGCATGGCAAGCAAGCCAAATAATGCAGTTATTTGTTCTCTAGACATGTAATTGAATGTGATCATTTACTCTTTCATAAAAAATCCCTAATGTTGCTAATAATGTTATAAAAAAAAGTCAGAAGTTATGTTGAATAAATGTTAAAGTTTTAAGGGAATAAGAGAAGATATTGATTTTAGCAAATTGTTCAAACAAAGTTTCGTGCCTTCAAACAAAAGTTTCCTTAACCCTATTTTGTTTGAAATAATGTAACAATACCTATTCCAAAGTTCTAGGTCATTACTCACATGTTTCTAATAATATATTTCATACAATATTTAATAATTGGTTAGACCATATGCAAGCAAAATTAGGTAATTTATGTATTCATATTTAACAGTGTACAATATTAAGAGAGATTAGAGTTAACCTAACAATTAAAAAATATCAATATATCTAGCAAACGATATTATCCCTACTTATTAGCAGTCATTTCAATGAAGTACCAATACATGTACCTCAAATTATCTACTAAATTCATTTTTTATCTACTTTGGAAATATGTTTTTTGAAAAGTTGCTTTGAGCAAAATTTTAAACCCAAATAATTTTTTAACTTCATGAAAGTACAAAGATAAAAATCAAAGGCATCCTAAGATATACTTTGAAAAAGTACTTTCTTTTTCATTTTTTTTATCCAAATAACATTCGACTCTTAAAAATATTAAAAATGAGTTATTCAAATAGCTTATTAAACATTTGCTCTTTTAAGATTTAGGCCATGGTAAGAGGAAAAGAAAAGGGTTAAGTATGCCCATTGATAAGTGGGTCCCTAATCTCCTCTCTCTTTTTTATTGCATTATTTGTGAGGAAAATGGCATTTAAGGCCTTCTCAAAAAAATTTATTATTATAAGAGCCATCAGTTTTATATCAAATATTATTTTATAAAAACATATATTTGTTATTATTAAAATTATACTATAAGGTTCAACTTTTAATAACAACATATATATATTTTTACAATATATATTCAATACAAAATTGATGGACTTCTATTGTGATAAATTTCTTTGAAATGGCCTTAAGTATCATTTTCTCTTACCTATTTTTGTAATAGAAAAGCAAAATCCTACTTCAACCAAACTAATGGCATTGTTCTTTAAAATTAGAATGAAAAAGGAAAAAAAGGGTCTCTTTTCCTTTAAGTGAGAATTTTGGTTTTGACAAAGTTTTACTCTCCACTTATCTTTTTGTTATTGCTTTATGCATACCTCAATATAGTTTTCAAGTTCTTGGATAATTTATTGGCTAGTATTTTGCAAATTGTACTAACATTTTCTTATGAATCTATCTTCAAGTGGCATCATTTTTGTTAATATTTTTTTATATATTTATCTAACTTAGTCATATTCAAATATTATTAGACTCAATTAAAGATAACTATCTTAAAAACATTTTCTAACCCAAAAATCTTTGCTTATGTTTCTATGCTCCATATAATTTGGTTCTATTAACTATTGTGTTTTATTATCAAAATACCTTGGAAGACTTTGTTCATAGAACTATATTTTCTACTCTTATGTCAATTTTGTATTTAAGTTATAATCAGGATTTTGGCCCTAAAAAGCTATAATTATGATTAGTTGCAAGTCCAGCTTGTTCATACGAGGCGATTGTGGTTTTTTTTTTTTCTTGATTTAAATTACTTTACTTGCTAGTAATAGTTTCAAGAATTTTAAAATCCTAATTCGTAATCCTACTTGATGTTTTAAAGTCATTCATCTTTTTGTGTGTAGATGCTATTTAGATACAAAGTCTTTATTGCCGTTGGCATCACATTTTCTAGTCTCTAATAATGTTGGCAAAGAAATGCACGGAAAAGAAAATTGAGATTCTTAGATAGGCATAGTGTGATAAGTTATTCTTAGGCCCTATTTGATTGCAAGAAAGTGGGGTGTGAAAAAGGAAAAGGAAATGACATTTTCCTTTGTTTGGTTTGTAGAATTTAGTTTTTGACTCCTAGAAAAGCATTTTCCAAGTTAGAAATTGTGTTCCACTCAAAGATTTAATGGGAATTTTTACTTTCCTTGAAAGCATTTTCCAAGTATATGTTAGATATTGCGTCGTCGTCTTCCTTTAATAGAAGGGTACAAGTTCACAAAGTCATTTAGCCACACAAGCCAAGGAATATAAGCTCCCATTAAATTATCAAATAAAATAGTAGTGAAGCCCTCGACAAGGCTTTTTTTATTTTTGGAAATAAAGTCAAACGAACAAGTATCTGCATTTAAAATGAAAGAAAAAATAAATAAATGACAAAGTAAAGGATGGGAAATAAGATCAAATAAAGTTATCTAGCAATGATATGGAGTTACACTGAGCAATAGTCTTATCACTAGAAGGAAGATGTAGAGTGGCTATATCTTGAGTCAAAGTGTCAGATAAATTACAACTAATACCACCACTTAGCTCAAATCCAAACTAGAGAAGATGAATGTGTGATCCAACAAAATCCAGTTTTGTCATGTACAAATTGTTAAATTCAATTGAGCAAGTAATGAAAAAATGCAATCAAAAAAGTTTTCCGATTTTATAAGAGGATGTTTTTTGAAAGTAATCCCCGATAAGGGAACTCCATCCATTGCAATTCCGGTACTATTATAATTGCTTTGTTTTCTTTTAAATTTTTTGCATTCAATTTTTCAAGAATGTATCATGGAATTTGTGTTGAAGAATTCTCTTGAGTAAAATGATCAACAATTGTGCATCCCAAAAAAGAACCCTTAGCACGTTTAAAAGCTGCACTTCTAGTTATATTTGAAGTGAATCCCAATTGCAAGTGACTTAGAGAAAAGTAATATGTCCAGAATTCTCAAATGACCTACTTTAGGGTAATAATAAACCTTTCATATAGAATCAAATTCCTTTTGTACTAGATTAAATGAATTAACGTGAAGATACATTCAAGAAGTGAAAACTCCTTATCCCTAATTAAAGCTTTTGTGATAATTTTAACTAATTAAGTTGAGTCTAAAGGAAGAAGCTAATCCTTTATAATATAATAAATTTAGGTTTGAATCTTTGCAAGAAAAAGTACTTATATTTAGTGTAACATCTTAACTTTTAATCTTAGAATTTGATTAAGAATTTGAATTTAATTGAGGATAACTAATCATTTAGGTATGTAATTATGATTTAAATTAAACTTAAAAATGATAATTAGGGCTGTTAGAGGTCCATAAGAGGGTTTGGGCTTGGTTTTGTTTAATTATCATTATAGATATTTATTTATCATGATAGAGTTAAATAATTATGTTTGAAAAAATAGATTGTTATATTTAGTGCTTGACCATTTTTCCAATAAAATTGTATTAAATAGAAGAATACTTATGAAAAATTGAAAGAGACATGAAGTGTATGTCAATAGCCTTAACGATTAAAAAGTCAACTCTCCAATAGCCTTAATGGTTAAGAAGTCAACTCTCCAATAGCCTTAATGGTTAAGAAGTCAACTCTCCAATGGCCATAAGCTTCTTCGTTTCAAAAACCAACCAACAACGTCCTTTGATTTTGTGCGCTCCATTGACGACCGAAGAGCTTTTTCTAATAAAAATATTACAATAATGAAGTGAAATGGATTCGATTTTTCTTAAGCAAGGTCGGTAATTCAAATTTTACAAATAAAAAAATATGTTGAGATGATTACTTTCTACTGGACTTGACATTATTGGAATTTGACTTGGAAGAATCAAACAAAAAAACAGGAAAAAAGAAAGGATAAAATAATTATTTTTTTTAAATAGGATATGATAATAAATAGTAGTTTCTTAATTTAATTAGATTTTCATGAAATAAAAAATAATTCTTACAAATTCTCTGGTATTTTTTAACCAAAAGTAAACATTTTTTTTTGAAAAATGATTTGGAAAAAAATACTATTTTATTTACAAAAGTGTGAAAAATTAAAAGAATTAAAACAAAATAATTTATACCCGAAAAACATTTATTTTAATGAGCCACTGGCAGGGTGGGTTTCTTACATGAGAACAGAAGAAGTCTATAATATGCATAATCTTATAAAAATGTTTATAATTATAATAATCAATCAAACTACTAATTTTTAAATTTTAAGTAGTATAAACATATTTTGAAAAAAAAAAGGATAAAAAAGTAAATTGACTCTTGAACTACAGGTTCAGGAGTGTTTAAGATCCTAAATTTATTTTTTATGTAATGTTTTCCTTCAACTTTATAAAAAAATTCAATCTAATCTCTATCATTAATAAAAGTTAATTTTAACTATTAATTAATTATAAAATAATATAAAATGATCTTAAAAATTATAAAAAAGGGCCAAAAATAGAGATAAGGACATGAAAAATTGTAAAAAAGAATCAAGAAATTTTTTTGGTCATTTTTTATAATTTTTTATGTCATTTTTTATCATTTTTAATCAACTAATTATCAAAGTTAATTTTTGTTAATAGTATAAGTCAGATTGCACCATTTTAAAAGTTGAAGGAAAATATGATACAAAAATAAATTTAGAGTCACATACATTCTTAAACTTATATTTAAGGATCAATTTGCCATTTTACCCTAATAATAATAATAATAATAATAATAATAATAATAATAATAATAATAGTTTGAATGATATAATATGTGATATGTATCATAATTATAATTATAAAATATAATAAACACATCATAATAGGGTTTTTAAAACCAGTCCAAATCGATCACACCAAATCAAATCGAACCAAACCGATATGAACCAATCAAAACCAATTATAAATGAGATTTAGGTTGGTTTTTCTTTTGACAAAACTGATTGGCTCGATTTGGTTCAGGTTTTTCCTTTGACAAAACACATTATAAGGGCATGTTACTTTGGTTTTTTCTTTCCTTTAGTGAATAATAGGAAGAGTTTAGTTGTACGTGTTAGTCATTCATTAACAAGTATCCGTTTAATTTTGACAACAACTTATTTGTGATTGACAACAAGACATTTAGACGTTTAACAAGTAAAATGAGTAAAGTTTTAAAATTCCTAATTTGTAATTGTTCATGTCAGATTAACAAGTGACATTTGTAAAATAGCAACAATTAATTTGAAATTAACAAAAATCTACTATGATTTAACAAGTAAAAAAATGATAGGAAGAATTTAATTGTGTGTGTTAGTTATTCATTGACAAGTATTCATTTGATTTTGACAACAACTTATTGTGATTGATAATAAGACATTGGGATATTTAACAAGTAAAATGAGTGAAGTTTTAAAACCCTCAATTTGTAATTGTCTATATTAAATTAATAAGTGACATTCGTAAAATAACAAGTTCCGTTCAGAATTAATAACACATATTATGTTATTACATGGAAGTGGTTTTGTGCTTGGTTACTACTTATAATTTTTTTTGCCATATATATATATATATATATATATTAAAGGGTTTGAGCTTTTTAGGTGGCCAAGGATCATGAAATCAAACCCACCCTTGGCTACCTAAAAACCTCAATTTTGAAATAAAATGTTATTGGAGCCACCGTGGATCCTCCAGGTAGAGGTTCGAAGGTTGGTGCTGGCGACCGTGGGGGTTTCTTTTTTTTCTTCTGTTGTTTAACTATAAGGGAATTTTGGTCTTTTCACATATGGAATTAATATGTCAAAAGGACCAGAGGATTACAATGATAAAAGCAAATCATTTGGTCCTTCTTTGATATAAATTTCGTATGGTGGTCTTTGAATGATATTTTCTTTATATATTGATGATTATGAAGAATATTTCATTATAAAAGTTCAAACTTGATCAAGACCTAAACTAAATCGAATCAAACCATTCAAAAACCAAACTGAATTGAATAAAGAAAAAAATCGAATAAGTCCCAAACTATAGTGAATCGATTAGTACAGTTCGGTTCGGTTCGATTTTTTCTCAAAACTAAACCAAATTGAACTTGTGAATACCCTTATTTGATCATATCAAATATTTATGGAAATATGAATATATTTATTTTCTTTTTATTGGGACATAGTGTTTCATAGTTAGCAATAGTTAATAAGTTGGTGTTAATTAAAATTGGGAGCATGACAGTTAGGTGACAAAATATTGAATTAATATCAATTAAATTTTTAATAAATTTTTTTTAGAAATAAGTTAAAAATATTGATCCAAGTTATTACAAATTTAGAAGTTTCAATCATAGTTTCAATTATAAATAAATATTTAAATATAAAATATAATTTTTAAATTATAATAAAAAATTTCTATTTATAATTATTTAAATTAATATTTATAATTTATTTTATAAAAAATTTGTCGATGATTTTCATTCATTTAAAACTTAACTATCGTTCTTCCATTAAAATTTCAAAATAAATTCTAAAAAAATTTAAAATTTTCAAAATAACGTATAATGTATAAATAAAATATATGTACATAACTTAATAAAATATATATATATATATATATATGTACATAAGCGTGTATATAAAACGTACACACACACATATATATAAAACAAAAAACGGCAAAGCACCTCTTTGCGGCCATACGGGCTCGTTTTCCCAGAACCAGAACTTTCCCGAGCGCTGTAGTTTACTGTAGCTCTTGCGCACTCTCATTTGGATTCGCTCTTCTTCGTTCTCCTCTCTGATTCCATCAGGTGTCAGATTCCTTCGACTTAGATTGTAACTCATCATTGATTCATTCTTTCACGTTCAGAGACGATGTTCAAGAAGGCAGTGGAGTCCAAGTCGCACCAGAGATTGTCTGGTGCTGATCGAAAGAAGCTAAAACGAACCATCAAAGATAAATTCCCAAGGGCTTCTGATTCCGATATTGACGTCTTGCTTCCTCCTAAGGTTATATTCGTGAATATGCAAACCTTTAGTTTTTATTTTTTATTTTTATTTTTTAAATGCAGAGTTTACCAATGTCACTGTGAATCCACTTCGTCATTGAAGTTTCTGGCGTTGATAAAAGTATATGCCTTTTGAAATTAACTTGATTTTAATATTTTGTTTATAATTTTCTATTCGATTGTTTCAAACATCGTTCTGGAAGTTCAGACTCCTTTTTTTTTTTTTGCGGGGGGGGGGGGTAAGGGACCTCTATCTTCCATCCGTTAAAAGGTTGGCGACTGCCTTGTTTGCTGATGCCTGTTCATGAAACATTTCTTCTTCTGATTCTTATTTTTTCATTTTTTTTTTCAAATCAATAGACATTAGTTTTTGGAAGGGGGTCTCCTGGTTTTGTCTTTGCTAAATTTTATTCTCACGATGTCATACACTCTTAACGTATTACTGAGTTCGACCTCCTCTCTCAATTTCGATGTATGCTACACGAGTTGTTTTTCTAGCGCAATGCAAAGTCACGGATGATGCTCAAAGTCCTCCCCCTTCCCCCCCCCAAAAAAAAAAAAAAAAAAAAAAATTCCCCTTCGTTTCATCTCCCTACTCCTTTCTTATATGGTCCAGTGAAAAGTTTTCTCATTTTAGCTTTTAGGGCTGTGCTCCACATTGACTTTCATTTAAATGAGGGCTACAGCGGGGAAAAGAAATAGAACCTGGAAACAGCATTATATCTGATTTGTATGCTTTCTTTCACCTGGATGTCAAAGTTGTGGATATATAGTACTTCCTAATAAAATATCATCTAAGGACCGATAAACTATGCTCATTTACTGTATTTGGCTTCAAAATTTCAGGCAGAAATAACGGTGGCGAAGTTTCAAAATCGAGTCCATGTATATGGTGTGGAGGGAGGCTTTCCAATGTTTTTTGATGTTGATGGGCGGGGCTCAGACATATTCCCCACAGGTGTTGCTTTATTTCTGTGCCAGTGTTTATTTAGCTTATTGCTGATTATCCGTAGACGGACTGTAGTAGTTTTCTCATAAGGACTTGTCCTCATGTAATTATTCTTCATGTTAAGTGTCTTTGCCTCATTTCCTCTGCAACCACTGCATTTTTATGAAAGTGGCAGATATTAGAATAAATGTGGGGTATTATTTTTCTTGGTAAAATCTTTTCTATGCTCTGTTTTCAAACTATTCCAAAATCATGCACTAACAAATTAACGACTTAAGGATTAGGTTCCCCCTTCCTTAGTTTAATATCTGGCTCTTTCACAATTTTACCGACTAAGATGCAATCAACTTTTTCCTCCTCTTTTCTTATCCTTTTCTTTTGCGTTAAAACTTTACTTAAAATATTATCATTCAACTATTCACGAAAAGTCTATGCATGTTATGATTGAGCCCCAAATATATTAATTTCTAATATCACTCTTTCATCTGATGCAGTCCTTAAGGAAATGAACATTTAGTGCATGTAACGTTAGCAGCTTGTGCTCACTTTAGCATCTTGTCTTGCCTTTCTATTTTGACAACGCAGTTTATGCTCTCTGGAAGGTCCCTGAGCTATTACCTGCTTTCATGTTGAAGGGTGGTGAGGTTTCTCGATATGTTATAGGAGGAGCAGACTTGATGTTCCCTGGTATATATGTACCTCCTGAAGGTCTCCCATCATTTGTAGCAGGAGAACCATGGGCAGTGAAAGTACCAGAAAATCCTGCACCAATTGCGGTAATTTCTGTTGCTTTGCTTGTTTATGTCAAACTGTTGGTAGATTCTATGTTGGGTATCTATTTGGGATAGCCCTTCCTCAGAAGTTAGCTATCAAGTTGGGAGAACCAACCCACTTAAATATCTCCTTGAGCATCCCATACTACTCAATATGATATTTAGTTTCTCATACTAACAAGTCTCCATCATTTTATAGTCAATTCTTATTAGCTGGCCATCATTGTTTTAACTGTATTAATTTCTATGAAGGTGGGGAGTACAACAATGAGCAGCGCTGAGGCATTAAAGGCTGGTTTACGTGGGAAAGCATTAAGAATAACTCACTATTATGGTGATTTGCTTTGGCAAGTATATTGGGTTTTTGACTTTTTGATTGATTAAATGTTCGTGAAGCTGCTGTGGCTGACATTAAGAGGCTTTTTTCTTTTCATGGTTGTTTTGGCAGGGAATCAGTTGAGAATCGTTATGTGCCCAATGCTGGTTTTCTTGAGGATGCTGTGTTTGAGGATCCTTCAATATCATCATCTTTTCAGACTTCTGATTCAACTGAGGGCGACTGTGGGACTTCAAATGATCAACAGAACTGCAGTGTAAGCAATGAGGCGGTGGAATCTCTGAATGTAAATGATGCTCCGGCTGACTCTGTCCATGCCTTGACAACAAATGATGACGCAAATGATTCCAGAAATGAAATGACTGTTGGTGTGGGAGATTTGAAGTTACAAGATGTTGACTCTGTTGATGACCCAAATGAACAACATAGTCTATCCACTGCTGACATAGATTCACTGTTGGATAAGTGCCTTCTGCAGGCATTGCATACAACAGTGAAAGATAAAGACCTTCCGATGCCTGGAAGTACTCTATGGTAGAGTATGCAATTTTATGCCTGCAATCTATTTCCTAGCCTTGTGTCTTTGCCACTTGAACCAAGTCAAGTATCATTTGGGAACATAGACCAAGAAATTCAGGAAACTAATACCTTTGCTGTCTAGTTTAGAAATTTTTAGTTGTAGACTAGTTCATTATTCATTAAGGTGATTTTGAGACATTGACAAAAGTATACTATTGTGGAGGACCGTCTTAACTGTTTGGGATGTTTGCTGCACAAATTGGGAATGTGCCTAAATTCTGGCATTTTGCACTGAAAATGAGTAATATTTTGTTTTCAAGTCTTGTAATGGCACATCTTTCACACTAGGTACTAGTAACTTGCAATGTAACAGAGGTGCATTACCAATTTGTGGAGCAAACATTCAAGGTGCCCCTCTTAATTGGATGAGAACATTTTACTTGAGTAGCAGTTGCTATAAGTAGTCACTTCACCCTAAATAATGTAGCAGTTATGGGCATCTGAAACAGCAATTTATAACTCTTCAAGATAGGAAATGTAAGCAGGAAAACAAGAACTTTGCAAAGTGCTTTGTGAACCTTGGGCATTGTTCGCTAAGAATGAAGGTTCCTTTCCTTCTTGCTTTTGCAATATCTATTATGTCCTGTAATCATTGCTGATCAATTTCTAATCTTTTAATTATTTTTTATAAGAAAATGTGAGTGGGAAAACAAGAACTTAGTCAAGTGCCTTGTGAATCTTGGGCATTGTTTGGTAAGAATGAAGGTTCCTTTCCTTCATTCTTTTGCGTTATCTATCATGTCCTGTAATCATTACTGATCAAATTCTATTCTTTTAATTATTTTTATAACAGGGGCACAGTGGTCATTTTAATTCTCAAAATCACTTTTCTCATTTCTGCTTTCCATCATTTGATTCCATTCTGTGTCAAGAGTCCTTGATTTGAATATGATTTCTTATGTGAGCAAATATTTCTCCTAACAATAGCTTTGAAAAGCCCTCAATTGGATACCTGTATTGACTTGCGTTTTGATTGTAGTGTTGGTGTCCAACACTCATCTAGCATGCAGATAGACCTGAAATTGTTAGTTTTGGCTTAAGATTTGGTCAAATAAAAAATTGTAGTAGTTCTTGTAAAGGTAAAGTTGTTGTTATGAGCATGTATAAACTTAAAAGCATGGGCGTCAGCACAAAAATGTGACACAACATTGTCACATTGGCAGGTTACATTTAGAAAAATCTAAAACATTACATTATATGCATATTCATACCTTTTAAACTTTCTATTGGTTGCATGCTTCTAGAATATAGCTTTGCTTTATTCTATTTTAAATATTTTGTACTGTAATTTTCCAAATGAAATATAATCAATAAAATTTAACATTGTGCATTTATATTATTAAATTATGCGTTTTCTAGTCTCATTCTGCTTTTAATTTTTCTCATCTATCTTATGAAGATTACTCTTGTATTGGATGTGAGGCAACCCTTTAAGTTATTTGTGGACAGTTGAGATTTGGTCCCTTGGTTATGTCCGTGTTAGTGTCATGACCTGTGTTTGTGTAAATATCAATGCTTCATAGATGGTAAGTCACTTTCTACTGAGCCTGTGATCACTTGAGGTTAGTTAAGTTGCATGTGCTGTTATCTAAGGCATTATCTTGTGGAACAATAAAGCATGTTGGCTTACATTTTTTTTTAAAAATATAACTATGTTTGTGCTTTGTACAATGTCTAGTTGAAACTTGAGATGACTAGAGGAACGTACATTATTTTAATCTTCAGAAAGCCTGACTTTTCATTCCCTTGAGTTATCTAATGCATGTTTCTGAATCTCGCAGGTCAAATCATGTCTTGCCATGTAGGCCATCAGGAGTGATTTTAGACATAAAAAAGTCATCGCACAAGAAATTGTCGAAGTGGTTACAAGCAAAATCCACCTCTGGCTTGGTGTGTTATCTATTTCTTTCTTCCATGCTTTTGAGAAAGTTGATAATTGTTGGAATCATGCTAATATTAAAAATGAATATTTCAGAGTGTAGAACTAAAAATTGTGCTGGGTAATTTATGCTTTGATTGTAAAAATTCGGACAGCTTGTATCCTCATTGTAGTGTTTCATAAGCATGTCACTGTGATGGAAGAACAAATTTAATAACGTGCTGCCATAAAATTGATTCATGAAAGCTTGTACTTGGTATAGGATCATAGAAGGTTGTGCAGTGTAGAATTATGTCCATAAGTTTTGCGTCATTAGGAAGCTGCTGTGTCTGAATATTTTCAAATGGTAGCTGTAGGATAGAATGAAATAGAAAATTGGCTTCAACAATGAGGATTTTTCTGTGAAAACTCTCATTGTAGGACCAATAGTCGATGAAGGGAGAGGGAGGGAGAAATAGGTAGATAAAGAGAAGAAATGAGAGCAAATAGAAATTGAGGGATAAAGGGAGAGAGAAATAGGAATAAATGGGGAGAAATAGAAGTTCTGAAATCTTGTTCAATCACTAAGCTCCCTCAAAAGTCCATGGCCAAGGGTTTATAAAGTTGGAAATTAAAATAAGTGGCTTTGAAAACGTATTAGTAATAGAAGAGTACCATACTAAGCAATAATTAAAAGGGAAAATGACAATAAAATCCCTTTGAATTTATAAATGACAATTTAGTCTCTTGAAATGTCATAACATCAATGAAGTTCCTAGAGATTTTTCTGTCATTAAGGAATTAATATAAATGACCAAATTGCCCTTGGTTCAAATATCAATTGTCATTCATAAGTTTTGTTTCAATATTCAAAACTTTTTTTCTTAAAATTTCAAGAATTTGATAGCAATTCACAAGTTTGCATTGAAAATCCTAATATGTTTCAAGTGTTGTAAATATCAATTACTATTCACAAGTTTTGTTTTAAGATTCACAATTTTTCTTCTTAAAATTGCAAGAATGCAATAGTAACTCGCAAGTTCGCATTTGAAATCTTGAATTAAGGGCAATTTGATCATTTATATTAATTCCTCAATGACAAAAAAGTCCCTAGGGACTTCATTGGTATTATGACATTTCGAGGGACCAAATTGTCATTTTACCTAATTAAAATCCTATTATTGAATATTCCTAATTTAAATCATAAGTGATGGCATGTTGGTTTGCAAACATTGATACTGATTGATTGGTCATATTACTATTCAACATATCACTCCTAAGATTGTTTTCCCATTTTTCATTATTGATCACGTAAGGTTTGCAATTATGTTTTGCGTTGTGATTTAAAAGTGACCAAATTGTAACCGACTTTCTGTTTTCTGTTCTTTGCAGTTTAATTAATTAATTAATTTATTAGTGTGTGTTTCATTATTTGACTTCTAGTCAAGCGTTTGCAATTAATTTATCTGCACCACTATTTCTTGATTCTTTTTCATTTAGATAATCATTTTGTACAGATTTCAGTTAAGGAAGATAAATATAAGAAGGAGGCCATGCTATTATCAGTGAATAGAAACCATGTTGATTATTCATCCTTTAAGCCAGAAAAAAGGCCAGCTCAAAAAAGTGATCAGCCCAGTGTTAATGCTGCAAGTGAAAGTCGCTCACCTAAAACTCTTGAAGTGGCTGAAATATATAAACCAAGTGTACATGTCAATCCCATATTTTCAGCTGTAGGAGCAGACACGGGGAAATTTTACAGTGCTTCTGAAGCTTCTGATATTGTTTTCAACTACATTGAAAAAGAAAATCTTGTGAAGCCAACAAATAAATCCATAGTGGTTCTGGATGTATTATTATGTGATGCGCTGTTCAAGGGGGCTATTAAAAAGGGAACAACATATCCTACAGAAATTCACAAGAAAGATGTGGGATCAACATTTATAAGCCGTATGCAAGCTCATCATGTTGTAACAAGAGGAAGTGAACAGGTGGTTCGTAAAGGTGCAATCAAGACAATTCAAATAGTGACAGAACGACGGCAAGGTAATAAGAAAGTGACCAAACTTACCGGAATGGAAACCTTTCTGATAGATGCTGAAGTGTTAGCAGGAGAACTGCAGAAGAAGTTTGCTTGCAGTACCACTGTTGCAGAACTACCAGGTATTTGTTAGACAATGAAACATTCCCATTTCTGTTGTGTGTTTTCTGCTTGTGACCCTTAAGATATTTACAAACCCTAACGCCATCTGTGTTACCAAAAAAAAAAAAAATAGAGTCAATTAGTGTTTGGTTATAAGGGGTAGGTAGTGGTAGTTAGAGTTGTTAAGTGGGTTGGTCATATAGAGAGAGAGAGAGAGAGAGAGAGAGAGTTGATATGGGGGCCTTGGGTATATGCAGGGACCTCAATATGAATTTAGAAAGTGTAACTTGAATAAAGGAGTCTTTGTACTGGGAATCATTCACCAATTTGACCTTTATTCTCATCTAAAAAATTACTCATCGAAAGGCCAGACTTACATTGCTTTTAGTGTTCTCGAATCCTCATCACATGATTGGATTTGTTGCTTGGCACTGGCAGTCTGACCTAGTCTTGAGAGGTCAATAGAAATTGGAATTGGATACAGCTTTTACTATGGGAAGAAAATGGATTTCTTTACTTCTTGATATGTTTATAGCCATTTTTCTTTTAAAGCATCAAACGATCTTAGATATATTTATGCTAGTTCATGCTTTGCAAATGATTGGTTTCTTGTAATGGGTATGGTACCCCCAGTTTGCGTTTTTTTTTATCTTGCTCTGGCTTACGTGCTCTGATCCAATGTCTATGTTCATCTTACTGTCCATCTGAAATTCTGTTATCATTCTCTCAGGTAAGAAAGGAAATGAAGTCTTGGTTCAAGGTGGGGTGATTGATGACTTGGCAAAGCATTTGATTGAACAATATGGAGTTCCAAAGCGATTCATTGAGGTTCTTGATAAAACCAAGAAATGAGCTAGATTGTTGGTCGTTTGCACTGCACTTGCGTTTTGGAAGTCGTGCGAATTTTGGTACGCTTGTGTGCCTGTGTGTTTGGTTGAGGAGACTATAAGGAAAAAGAATTATAACATACTCCCAAAGAGCCATGTTGCCTATATACTCTCCAATCAAAAAACATTTCGAATCAAATACTACATTTTTGTCTTAAATTTCTTCCTTCTTTGTCCTTTCCACTAGTTTACTTGATCTATAGTGTTTTTATTGGAAGAAGTTTAAATCATGGCATTTTTGGAGTATGGAATAGTTTCTTGAATGTTAGAGCTAGCTAGAGTTAGAATGGGATTGGATAAAGTTTTCTTTTTTAGACTTAGTCAAGAGTTTAAGGTGTCGTACACTATTTAACAAAATTAGTGTTTGCTTAGAAAGTGTTGGTGAATGTGCATATGTTTTATTATTTGCATAGCAATGCATGCAATATTGGGTTTGTGCTATTAGTTAATTAGTTGAAAAGTGATATGTAGAAAAGTTAGCTTTTCTCAAGATTGAGATATGTTTTTGAGCAGAGTTCATGATAACATAATATTTTTGTATCTTCCATTCTGAAATTTCGCTATGTCTTGTTTAGAGAAGAATCAACTTGATTGCGTTGATGTTTCAGATCAAAGATGAGTAGAGAGATCTTTTGGTTTGATTATGATAATCTGAGATCATAATGTTTGTTCTTCCAGCAAAGGCAAATATATGTATGTATATGTTTAAAGTTGTGGTTAAAAAGTACTTTTGCTTTTGAACTATTTTGTGAGAAGCAATGATTATATTAAATTATTTGTAATGTCAATTTTGTGTGTGTGTGTGTGTGTTAAGTTGTTTATGGGCTGACAAATAGAACCATGGGTCGTTAACTTCGGAACTCATAGAGAAAAAAAATGTTTGATAGATGTGTGCATTGCTTAAGTAAAAAAGAATATTTGAGTTAAGGGTATGTGTCTCTAAAATATTCTTAAAAGATAAACTAAAATTGTAAAAAAAAAAAAAGACCATTACTTGTTAGATAGTTTGCGAGAGTAAATGTCTTTTAACCTACATGTAACCCTATTACGTTTATCACATTTTTGCCGTTTGGTTAGCCCATTATAATATAAAGGAGATTTAATTATTCCAAGAGAATTACATGGAATGATGTATTGACCATTATATTATTGGACTTGTGTAATCTCCATTCCTAATACCTTGACTTCACCTCTGTACAAAAATACCTCTCATAGTCTCATCCTCTCATCGTCTTTTGACATCATGGGGAAAAGGCATTCAAGGCCTCCAAATCAAAGAAATTTGTCACTAAAGCTTAAGATATGCTGAATTAATTCTGCAGATCCAAAAGTTTTAAATGCAAATATGTTTTATGATAAAAAGATTCATTTTCCCTTCAAGGAAAAAGTTCCTTCATTTATTATCTACCAATAGTTCTAAAGAAGCACTAAAAAAAGTTGGTTGTCATGCCTTTGAATTTTTTTTTTTTCTTGAACTATATCAGCCTTAGCTTGATCAATCTTTTAATCTTGACTAAGTCAATTGAACTCACAAAATAGGCAAAGAGATTTAAGAGAACTAGCCTCACAAGTTGAGAGTAGAGAGCTTTGAGTGAGTGAACTTAAGAGCTTTATTGATTTGTTTGAGTGGTTACAAATGAGGGGTGAGGGGATATTTATAAGCTCTCTCTTTTTTCAGAAAGTTCCCACCTCCTTAATGGACTGTTGGGATTGATTCGATCCAACAGTGTACATTTTATCTTTAAAATATTCTATAGAAATATCTACAAAGAATATTTTAATATTTATAAGGAAAATTCTAGAATGTATAAGGGGAGGATATCTCTAGAATAATCTAGATACTTCAAGTGCTTTTTTCACTATTCTAGAGATATCTAAATCTTTCGAGGTCACACCAGCGTATTTCAAAAATCTTTAGTGCCTTTCTGATTGTCCTAGATCGTTTCGAAAGCTTCTAGAATATTTTAACTTTGTAAAAATTCTAACTTTGTCACATGGTGGAAAGGATTGGTGAAAGGGGGAAGAATTTTCATGGAAAGGGAATTTGTGTCCTTTTTTTAATTTAATAAAAGATAAATAATAAATTTGATTCTTAGATCTTTAAGTATGATACCAAACAATTTCATATAATCCCCATTTTATTACATTTCATTACCAACCATTACAATCCCAATAATTTTGTTGGGTTTCATGCCACTAAAGTTTTTAAAATGATAAAGAAGACATGACCAAAATGTTCAATGTCTATAATTATGAAAAGTTTTATTCCCTTAGTTTCATATGTGCGCGTGTATATTTGCTTTTTTTTTTAAAATAATAATAAAATCTCTTTGAATTATGTAAATAATAATTTGGCCTCTTGGAATGTTATAATACCAATAAAGTTTGTAGAGATTTTTTTATCAATAATTTTTTAGTAAAAAAATTATTTTACCTTTATTGAAAATAATAAGACCTAATCAAAACTTTTATTTGAGAAATTACAACTTTTATTCTGTAAATTTTAAGAGTTGAATAAAAATTAAAACTTGTCAAATGTAATTTTTGTTGTAAATACTGTGTTTTGTTCGGACATTTTTTAAAAAATAAAAATAAACTTGACTAAAAAATATAAAAATATAAAAATAAAATTTAATCCTTTTTTAGGATTATATTTAAAAAAATATAATAATTTAATAAAATAAAAAAAAAGAAAGGTTAAATCTTAAAAAAAAAATCTTTCTCAAATTATCCCAATCATTTAAGAATATTGAGAATTAACTTTTAAGAGTTAACTTTTCTCTCCTTAAATCTTATTTTCATTCCAATATATATTTATATATATGTATTAATCATAATAATTAATAAAAAAAAACAAGAAGTAAGCTGAAACAGACACACGCAAACACGGCAAGCAGAACACACGAACACAGTCAGCATACAGAGATGAAGAAACCTGAGCTGCAGACGCCGAAAGCACCAGACACCAGAGAGAAGAGTCATGCAGAAAATCAGAAGGCACACGCGAGCAGAAACGCAGAAGAAGCAGAAACACGAAAGCACAGATTGCAGAAAAAGCTTCACAGAGAAAAACGCAGCAAGCAACCAGAAAACATATACATACGCTTTTCTGCCAGCAGAAGGAAAAAACAGAGCCAGAGACGCAAAACTTGATATGCACGTTACAGCACACGAAAAGAAAACAGAAAAAGTGCACACAAAACACAAAAGAAGGCAGAGCAGCAAGCATACACGAAAACACAGTGGCAGAAAAGCAAAACACACAGCCACGCATGCACGGGAAAAACGCCAGAAAAACAGAGCCAAAAAAAAAAAAGCAGCAGAAAAGGAGATAAAGAGGACGCCGAGAGGGAGAGACTGAGAGTATAAAAGAGTGTTCAAACAGAAAAGAAAGGGGACGGAACGAGGAAACAGAGACGAAGAAAACACAATGATGAAGAGAAGAGAAACCGAGACTGAGATCAGAAGCTGAAACAGAGCACAACGAAGGAGAGAGCACCGAGATTGAGACGAGAATAAGAGAGCACCGAGACCGAGACAAGAAGGAGAGAGTTTTTTGAGGAAAAGATTGAACGCCGAGAACGAAGAAAAAAACTGAGGCTGAAAAGAAAAAAAAAGACAGAAGCGGAGAGGAGGAAGAAGAGACCGAGATCAGAGAGGGTGGAGTTTGCTGGACAGAAGTGGTGAGATGGATCTGCACACAGGTTCTTGCTCCTGAATTTGAAATGCATACGTTTGATTTCAATTTATTTTTTCCAAATAAATTTTATATTTAAACATCTGTCCCATATTTTTCAGTTTTCAAATGAAAATTAATGTGATTGTTATTTTTTTAAATTAAAAAGAGAGTGTAAAAAAGAAGGATAAAGAGATTGCAAATAATAATTCTTGCTTGCTATTATAACTTAGCTTAATTTTATTTTAGGCATAATCTCATTTCAAATAATAAAAGAATTAGTGCAATTATTAGGCAAGGTCTTTAAATGTATTTTTAGTATGAAAGGGCATATTAATATGTATGGGCATGATTTTTTTTCATCTCCATTAGTCCTAAGGTCCTTTACTTGTCAATAATATTGTTACACTCATATTGTATGGCACTTTCCATCATGATTACATGTACGATTTCATTTATTATGACGAGCCTATTTTATAAAAGGTGAAGGGGAGAGAATTCGATTCTTACCTAATTGAAAAAACATGAAATGAATAAGAAAAAATTTATTTCTAATCATTTACTTGTCTGTGAGAATTTAAGAATTTCCACAGACATTTAAAATGATCTCATATCGTGTAAATTAATAAGATTTTGCAGGTATAGAGATTCAATTTATATAAAATAATCAATGATTTCAATGACCAATAATTAAAACTAACTATCTTTTTATAATCTAAATAATCCATTTAAGTTCCATATGAGATTTCAAGAATCTTCATAGGGACTTAAATTAATCACATTATCGTGTGGGATAATAAGTCCTCGCAGACATAGTGATTCTTAATTTTTATAATAAATAAATGATTTTTATAAATAATCATATAATATACAATTTAGAAAATTAATTAACCAAATTAATGCAATCATATTTACCAATTATATCTTTTAGTCATGTCAGATTTGAATCTTCATAGATTTTTAAGATAATTGTATTATCGTATGAGTCAATAAGACTCTACAGATATAACGATTAAGTTTTTAATATATATAAATTATATATTAAAATAATCACATTAAAAATGTATTTAAATTTAATTCCTTTATCGTGTGAGATTTTAGAATCTCCATAAATATTTAGGATAATTATATTACCGTACAAGTCAATAACGCTTTGTAGGTATGATGATTAAAATTCTTCAAAACATGTAAATAAATGCTAAAAAATTATTATTAACACTTAAAAAAATATACATAAGAATATAAATAAATAAATTAAATTGCTAAACTCTTTTATCGTGTGAGATTTCAAAATCTCCGTAGATATTTAGAGCAATTGCATTACCGTATAAACCAATAAGGTTCTGTAGGTACTGCAATTAAATCCTCAATCATAAAACATAAAGAAAAATAATTTTAAACCCTTTTCTTTCTTTATTCCAAAAATTCAAAAATTGAGAAAATAATTAAAATTAAATCACTTTTTGCAATTTAAAACACACATATCAAAATTTCAGAAATTATTTTATTTGCAAAATGGTGAATTATTTCTAATTAATTTCTCTTCAAAAAAATATTTTCACCAACAAACTTTTAAGCTCGAACTACGTGGATTTTGATCTCTATCATAGGGTACGTAGACGTCAAGGTCAGATTCTGAGTCAAGTCCTCCCTCGTAAATAAATAAATATTTCTTACTTAATTTTAATCATTTTTATATCAAACACATGAATATAAAAGGAATAATTAAAATAATTATAAAACTATATTAATATATCACAACAAACTTCAGGTAACTATTCTGATGAACGGGTGTTGTGGGGTGCCTAACACCTTCCCCACACTCAACTAACTCTCGAACTTATTCTCTAATTTCACAGACCATCATTATCTTCCTTTAAATGGTTTCCGAAGATTTACCTCAAAATTTC